AACCCCATGTGTTGTGTCTTTCTTAGAAGCAGACTCCAGGGACTTCAGGTGAACTAAACATGAACAGTATTATTTAAAACTACAGCAGACACGAAGCCTTACTTACTCCTAGGCCTACAGGCCCACACTGACTTCCTCCCCCCACTCACCTCTGTGAGAAGTAGTTCCCTTTTCAAGTCATTGCTCTTGGCCTAGGAACTAACTACAGTGGTACCTTGGTTCTCAAACGCCTTGGTCCTCAAACAACTTGGAACCCAAACACTGCTAACCCGGAAGTAAGTGTTCCGGTTTGCAAACTTTTTTCAGATGCCGAACATGCTCCGTTTTGAGTGTTACGCTTCTGATTTGAGTGCCACACTTCCATTTTGAATGTTACGATGGGGTCTGTCTGTTTTTGCTATTTATTTTGTGCCTCTTTTTTGTGCCTCTATTTATTGTGCCTCTTTTTTGTTTTGTTTTTGTGACTGTGTGGAACACAGTTCAGCTGCTGATTGATTGATTGATTGATTAATTGATTGATTGTGTGACTGCAGTACATTGTTTATTGCTTTCATTTTATGGCTCAATGGTCTCGCGTTAGATAGTAAAATTCATGTCAAATTAGTGTTTTAGGGGTTGTTTTTAAAAGTCTGGAATGGATTAATCCAGTTTGCATTACTTTCTATAGGAAAGTGTGCCTTGGTTTTGGAACAGACTTCCGGAACGGATTAAGTTTGAGAACCAAGGTACCACTGTATATAATTAATGTTGTTGTCATTTATATGGTGGATGAGCCATGTTGGTTTCCCCACAAATGTTATGTTAGATGATGTATTGATGTACTGTATGACCCCCCCTCCCCTTCCCCCCTTGCTTTATGGTACCTCGTGTGTGTGTGTGTGTGTGTGTGTGTGTGTGTGTTGCTGTAAATCGCTTAGAGGCCTTCTGATGACAAGTGACTGTTAAGTATAATAGATAACATAAATAAAATAAAATATACTTGCCCCAAGATTCTAGCATTGCAATGCACTATGCACAGGTCTGCCCTTGGACATGAGCTGATGCAAAATGCTGTGGCTAGGATGCAAAAAAACCAACCCCACACATTACAGATGGCAGCCAATCCAAGATGGAAGGCAGCAAGTATAGCATAAAACTCAGGAACACATACACTCCGATGCTTCTATTTAACTAAGTATATTATGATTTATTTTGACAATTTCTTGACTTAATTATTATCCTCTCCAAGCAGCGTGCAAAAATCCTCAATACACTGAAAATAAATTTTAAAAATCAGTTAAAATTATAAAATGAAAATTATGTTCCAATGCCTCCTGGAATTTAATCTCTCTCTCTCTCTCTCTCTCTCTCTCTCTCTCTCTCTCTCTCAAAGAGCTATTTAAACAGACACAAATGTCTTCCAGACCATGTCTTCCCTTGTTTTCCTAGCCTCTAAATGTGGCTTCCCCACCCCACTCCCTAGGACACGTTTTGCCTTTCGTCGTTGTTGCTATTTTAGACTCTCCGTTCACTTCGCAAAGTGCTCTGTGTCGTGGCAAAGCAACGGTGAAGAGATCGGGCCAGGCCGGGCCAGCCAGGCACTTTCAGGATCAGGCATCATTTCTATAATTACCATTTCCTTTTATGATTATCCAGACACGGGCTGTGTACTAGAGGCGTCACGTTTCTGGCTTTATGGAGGGAAATAAATCTAGCGTGCCATTACAATGAAATCATCTCTTACTATTTCCTACCATTACTGAAAATTAGCAGAGGTGTGAAACGAAGAAGAGGAAAATGTTTACTGCTGGGTTCCCCCTCCACCCCTCTCTTCTGTTTCTCCGGGATATATTTAAACCATGTTCTGTAAACCATGTCACAAAGGTGAGGGCTGATACTGAAAATGCAAAAAGTCCAACTATTTTTATTTTCTGGTCCCTATTCCTTGTAAACAGCTGCCTCTATTACGTACCTACTTTTGCTTTTTGCACACTTTGAATAGGCCTAGCGTTGGCTACAACACTGAGCTGCTATGAAGCTAGAGCTGTATCCAACTAAGTCCTGCTTAGAGTTATGGATGAGGGGAAATGTATTTTAAAAGTGAACCAACCGCATCCACACTTTCCAAAACAATATGTGACCTGAAACATAGTTATCCTTTGGAATTTGCAGTTTTCCAAATTTTGTGATGTTTCCCAAAAACAACAAGTTTACAAAAATGAAAAGGGATATATTAGTAGAAAATAAAATACAAAGAGGTATTGTGTTAGGAGAAATGGCTTTGTAAAAATGTGCACATTTCTCAAAGTTGCATACAAAAATATGCTTATTAGAAGAATATTTAGCAAAATCTGCTTTCCTACAATTTCCACCCACAAGTTCTAGCCCTGCCTTCTGAAGCAACATATCCATTTTTGTAGCTATTCGAATACTATTGTGATAAGGTAAAAGTAAAGGACCCTTGACAGTTAAGTCCAGTCACAGACAACTCTGGGGCTGCGGCGCTCATCTCGCTTTACAGGCCGAGGGAGCTGGCGTTTGTCCACAGACAGTTTTTCCGGGTCATGTGGCCAGCATGACTAAGCCACTTCTGGCAAAACCAGAGCAGCACATGGAAACACCGTTTACCTTCCTGCCAGAGTGGTACCTGTTTATCTACTTGCACTTTTTGGCATGCTTTCAAACTGCTAGGTTGGCAGGAGCTGGGACAGAGCAACGGAGCTCACCCCGTCGCAGGGATTCGAGCCACCGACCTTCTGATAGTCTCCCCTTAATTCTCTGTTGCCCAGATCTTTCAACTGTTCATTATAGGAACTTGGCTTCCAGAACCCTCACCACTGTCCTTCTTGCTCTGGACCCAAAGTACTTCTTAAAATGAGGTGCCCAGAAGTGGACACAATGGGTTGCATCCAATGCTAGTCCTACTCAACCCACTGAAATTAATGGACATTGTTAACTTAGGTCCATTAATATCAGTAGGTCTCCTCTTGAGTATAATTTACTCCATACTCTTCATGGTTAAGCAGCACTCCAATCTCTGGCATTTAAATCACACATTGGCTATGTGAGTGTGCGAAGGGGTGTATCGAGTAACCAGAGCACATTTCTACAAATGTTAGATGCATCAACACTGAAAGGCAGTACATAGCCTGCCATTTTACATACCCCTGCTGATGAGGTATATTTTGAACTGTTTTTACTGTAGAGCAATTGTGTTTTCTTAGCATATCTTTAGTTCAAAGAACATACACATCCCTTTGGCTTTAAAAATAGTGTAGAGGGCAATGGAAGGATAAAATAAGATGTCAGGCAACAGACAGAATAAGGCTTCTGCAACATGTAATGATGCAGTACAGAAGCATGCCAGTAGCCCTTGGTTAGATGCTACAAGTGTGTTCCCATTGTTATCATTGGAGTATTGGAGGGTACAATAGTTTGGATGCTCTGCACCAGCAATGTTGGACTTTTCAAAACTATTGCTGGGTCGCAGCTTGGAAGATAGCTTGGCCATGAAAGATATCAGTCTCAGCACAGTGTTCATGGCCAACAATCAACTGGGTTCCTTGGCCTTTTGTTCTTTCCCCTCCCAACATCAGCTTAATGCTCTACCCGACCCACAGCAACCCTCACAATCTGAGTGACACCCACATTCCTCACCCCATCCCTAGATCCAGACAATTTGATTTGGGCCTTGGCCAAGTCTGGTGCACAACCCTACTTCAAACTACTGTTCCTGTAAACTCAGAGGCACACAGTTGAATGCGAAGGCAACATGAGGGAAGAGAAAAGAAGGTAATATATTTAAGCAACAACGCAACAACGCAGCAGTTAAACTGGGGGAGGGGGCATTCAGAAGGATTTCCCCCAAAGTCCCCTTCTGTGCTTTTGACTTGCTCTGGGATAAACCAAACAAGTGTGTCGTGCTCCGATAAGGAAATTATGTGTAGCTGGTTGATCTAAATATGCCTTTATGCCAGGTACATCTATTATGAAAAAGCAAAACTGGCATTTTTTATGACTCAGGCTGCTCTTTCATAGATCCCCAGGGCATGAGCCTTTTTGGAAGACATTTACTTAATGGTTCAAACAGTATGGCAGGTGACAATGCAAAGAACACAGAAAGTCACTGATGAAGAACCCAGCTGTCTTGTAATGTGACAGTACACAGTGCATACAAAAGAAAGCACGGCTGAACAGCTTTCTACACAAGCGTATGCATGATGGTGAACATCGTGACCCATATTACCAATGAATTTCATGTCTTCCAGTAATTTGGCCACTGCCAGTTAAGGAGATGGAATGGAAGAAGATAAAAATGAATCCTTTTCTGTGGTGCTTTCAGCACAATGCCCTTCCTCTCTAGCAGATATCTATACTCATGTCAAGGTTAGTTGTTTTTTTTAAACAATTTTGCTGTAAAGCTTTGTGTTCCATTCCAATTCCAGCATAAACCTAAATACACTCATAGGAATACTGCCACCATGAGCATTTCCATCAAAGTCTGTCTAAAAAGGTAAAGGGACCCCTGACTATTAGGTCCAGTCGTGACCGACTCTGGGGTTGTGGCACTCATCTCACTTTATTGGCTGAGGGAGCCGGCGTATGGTCATGTGGCCAGCATGACTAAGCCGCTTCTGGCAAACCAGAGCAGCGCACGGGAACGCCATTTACCTTTCCACCAGAGCGGTACCTATTTATCTACTTGCACTTCGTGCTTTCAAACTGCTAGGTTGGCAGGAGCAGGGACCGAGCAACTGGAGCTCACCCCATCGTGGGGATTCGAACCACCAACCTTCCTTATTCTTCGGGAGACCATCCTAATTTTTTTCTCCAATTACTCTCCAGCAGTAGTAGTCCAGCTCATCTTGAGGAAGAAGATAGAGACAGGAAGCATTCATCTTTTTCAGCCAGCCCTGTCTTCTCTGCATCCTGGGAAGTGCCATAGCTCAGTGGTAGAGCAACCACTTTGCATGCAGAAGATCCTGCTTCAGTCCCTCGCATCTCCAGAGTAGGCTGGGAGAGGTCTCTGTATGAAACTCTGGACTACCATCAGTAAGTGTAGACAATACTGAGCCAGGAGGATCAATGGGGGTACCAGAGCAGAGGAAGTCTTAGTGTGACCTGTTGTTTTCTTCTGCAGATAAAAGTTGGGTTTTTAAATGCCATAACCGATTCCCATTGTCTACATCTTTGCCCCCAAGTGATCATTATCTGGTATGAGGACAGGGATGATACTTGCACACAGTGGCCCTATTTTTATCTGTGAAATGCATTGCTTTCTTGTCCTGAACCCACTGTATGGATGCAGGTAGGGGAAAGAGGAGGATGAAAGTTAACTGCAGTTTCAAACTCCTATGCATACCTGTAGCTTGTGCTCACTGGGAGGGAGATGCCATCAATTGGCTCAAAAATTCCAACATATGGCTCAAGATAGCCAACCACGCTAGCTTAATAAACTGCCAATCAACTAGGCACAAATTATGGACTGTGGCATCCCCAGTGAGGACAGCTTAGTGGATCACTCATCCACATTTAACACTTTAAGAAACCACTGGAGAAAGCTGATTCCCACTAGCCAGGGATGGGGAAACTTGTCGCTCTCCAGATGTGGTTGTACTCTGACCATTGTCCCTGCTGGTTAGGGCAGATGGGAGAGCTGCAGGGCAACAAGTTCCCCAATCCCTACTATAAACACAATGGGATGGTCATTAGCTCTGAGGCTTTAACAAATTAGGGAACAAGAAACGAAAAAGGGCAGGTCATAGCACTTGCCAGAGATTATGAAGTTCTAAGAGTGTTTAAAATCTATATGGATCATCATGGCTCCCCGGATTCCCTGGGGTCCTGCATCATTAGGAAAATAAGATCTGGCAAGGTCAGGGTGTTCTGCTCTGCTTGCTCACCCTTACAATTAAATCTTCACAGCCATCCCTATCTAGATATAGGTGCTAATGCTGATGACTCATGTCCAACCTGCCAAATCTTATGCCCTCTAGCCTGATGTAAATTCCTTTGTCTCCCAGGATCATGTCTTAATCTGCTCATCTTCTTTTCCAGTTATCTAATATATCCCCCGTTGGCTACATTACTGGCAACCAACAAATTTTAAAAAGTTTTAGGATCGTCAATCAATCTATCTCCTTCCAATTTCAGCCACGGACCAGTCAGGTTTTAAAAGTTAAGCCCATAATCCCCAAACAAACCAATATAGAATCGTAATCATAGAATGGTTGAGTTGGAAGGGACCATGAGAGTCATCTAGTCCAACCTCCTGCAATGCAGGAATCATTCGCCCAGTGTGGGGCTCTAACCCATGACTGTAAGATTCAGAGTCTCCTGCTGTACCAACTGAGCTATATAATATTGGGTCTGATGAAAGATTTATTTTTTAATAAATAATGCAGACAAGTTCCTTTCCTCAACATGATGTTTCAAAGTGCCAACGCGTGATCCTATAACCTACCCCAAAAGTTTTATATCCCACCCACATTAAAAAGGTCCCAGGGGCCCACTAATCTCTCTATATATTTTGGGAAGTTGTCCTTTCCTTTGCTGAGCATTTGGATACCTCTTATGATATCTGAAGATAGGAGGGGAGGAAACCATGTATGCCACCTTGAGGTCCATGGAGAAATACTGTAAATAATAATATTGTAACCACAGTTTGCATGATGGCTCCTGAGATCAACAAACAGGTTTTAGTCTATATTTGGATGCAATTGGATGCCATTTTGAATCAAGATGACTGATTGAATCTTTCAAAACTGCACTGATATTTTGGGTTCTGATATTCCTGAGCAAATCAGGTTATGAGGCTGCCATAAAGTAAATAAGCATTAAAAACAACTCAGTTAATCTCTGTACAGTGGTACCTCGGGTTACATACACTTCAGGTTACATACGCTTCAGGTTACAGACTCCACTAACCCAGAAATAGTACTCGGGTTAAGAACTTTGCTTCAGGATGAGAACAGAAATTGCACAGCAGCTGTGCGGCGGCAGCAGGAGGCCCCATTAGCTAAAGTGGTGCTTCAGGTTAAGAACAGTTTCAGGTTAAGAACGGACCTCTGGAATGAATTAAGTACGTAACCAGAGGTACCATTGTATTAGAGAAGGAGTGTCTTTGTGGACTTATTTTGAATCTTACAATAATATACACCAGAGCAGATGTGCATTAGAGTGCAGAAAATTCAAGATGAGTATATTCAAAACTTTTCACATGGAGGCAATGCATGTATACACAAGTCTGTGTTAGGATTTTCACCAACCTATCCATAACAGAAATAAATAATATAGAACTTCTCTGAGCTTCACCACCTGCTTCAAAACAGACCTTCACACAGATGAAATGAATTCAGGAATGTGTGTGATCATGGCAACAGGATGCTTTATATCTGTCTGAAACCAAAATGCCATTTGCCTTATTCTCCCCACTCCTTTTTGTTTAGATTTCCTACACAACATGAAAAGCCTCCTGCAGTATCAAGGATATGGATGCACAACATTTATCTTCTGAAAGGACATGGGAGGTCCAAAAAAGCACCTCCCCACACATCCAGAGTTTGTCATTATCACACCAGTGTTTTGGCAGGCCTATCATCTGATACAACTGCTGACATTCAAGTTAAGGTTGCAATGTGCCTTCAAAAATGTTTGGTTTACGAATGCGAAGCAAACTCTAAATTAAGTGCACCATCAACCATTCATGAAACAATGCCTCCCTTTTGTCCAGCCAGTTATTGCATTCACAGTTTACAAATTTGTAAATTTGATCTTACATCATCTGAAAACATGCAAAATTCACACAACATCAACGCAAGTGGAAGACATAACCTTTCCTAAATGGTGACTTAAACCTCAGTTCAAGATAGTGATGTTCTTACCCTTGCCATGACCTAAATAAGTTTAATTTTAAGTATTTCAGTTCTTATTCATCTTGTTTATTACACTTACTTGTTGCTTTTTACATGATACTGTCTCAAAGCAACTTAACAAAGTAAGAAAAGAAATATTAAAACCAAATATAATAACAGCAATAAAACAGGAACCTAAAATGTTCATCCATAAATATATAAGAAAAAGGACGGATTCAACCAAACCCTTTTAAGTTGTTTATATAATAACTAAAGTTGGGGTGCACAGTGATGTGGCCACATTTGCTGATGATATTAAACTGCTCAGCATCATTCATATATATATTCTCTCTCTCTCTCTCTCTCTCTCTCTCTCTCTCTCATGGGACCTGAGCTGCCAGTGACTGACCAGGTATGAGACCTTCCATACAGTGGTACCTCAGGTTAAGTACTTAATTCGTTCCGGAGGTCCGTACTTAACCTGAAACTGTTCTTAACCTGAATCGCCGGAGTATGATTTCTGTTCTCATCCTGAAGCAAAGTTCTTAACCTGAAGCACTATTTCTGGGTTAGCGGAGTCTGTAACCTGAAGCGTATGTAACCCAAGGTACCACTGTATTAGGAATCATTAGGAAAGGAATGGGGGGGGGGGCTTACAGTACCATAATGCCATTATAAAGATCTATGGTGTGACCACACTTGGAGTACTGTGTACAGTTCTGGCAACCTCACCTCAAAAAGGATATTGTCGAGTTGGAAAAAGTTCAGAAAAGAGCAACCAAAATGATCAAAGAGGATGGAGAAATGCTTCTTCAAGAAAAGGTTACAGCTTTGAGTAAGAGGGGGCATGACAGAGCTTGTTGACACCCAATGAAGTAAAATGTTGGAAGATTCAGAGAACACAAAAGAAAGTACTTCTTCACACAACACACTGCAGAATTCGCTCCCACAAGAGGCAGTGATGGCCATCCACTTGGATTGCTTTCAAAGAGGACTGGAAAAATTCACAGGCGAGAAAGAGATCCATGGCTACCAGTTATGATGGCTGTGCTGTGCCTCCACAGTTGGAGGGAATAATGCTTCTGCTTTACCAGTTGTTGGAAAGCACAGATTGCCAGCAACACACACGAGACAAGAAAGATGGGTATATTTATTAAAACATAACAACTATAGAATTGGGATAAAAGCAATGACAAACCTAGACATCTTAAAAAGCAGAGACATCACCTTGCCAACAAAGGTCCGTATAGTTAAAGCTGTGGTTTTCCCAGTAGTGATGTATGGAAGTGAGAGCTGGACCATAAAGAAGGCTGATTGCCAAAGAATTGATGCTTTTGAATTATGGTGCTGGATGAGACTCTTGAGAGTCCCATGGACTGCAAGAAGATCAAACCTATCCATTCTTAAGGAAATCAGCCCTGAGTGCTCACTGGAAGGACAGATCCTGAAGCTGAGACTCCAATACTTTGGCCACCTCATGAGAAGAGAAGACTCCCTGGAAAAGACCCTGATGTTGGGAAAGATGGAGGGCACAAGGAAAAGGGAACAACAGAGGATGAGATGGTTGGACAGTGTTCTCGAAGCTACCAGCATGAGTTTAACCAAACTGCAGGAGGCAGTGGAAGACAGAAGTGCCTGGCGTGCTCTGGTCCATGGGGTCACGAAGAGTCGGACACGACTAAACGACTAAACAACAACAACATAGAATCTGCCGGTCAATTCAACCAAATTAACCAAAACCAATGAGGTCTGGGAGCTGAGGTGCATTGACGGGAAGATTTCCCATCAATCCTGAGCCAGCTGCCAGCCGCATGCTGTGATCATACAGGAAGGCCTGAGGAAACTCCTCTGATCCTCACTGCCTGCTCCTTCAGTATATGAACCCGACATGCGCACCAAGGCCCTATTGGCCAACATTCACCCCAATGCACCCAACTGGCCCAAAACTACTTTGGCTCTGATATTAGTCAGATATTTTCCAAAATCCACTCAACCACCTGAGCCAAATGCCAATTAACCGAATTCAAATAAAATGCAAGTCAAGCAGACAACACCCAACAGTGGGAAGAAGACGAGAAAGAAGTGATACGTGTCAATTAGTGTCAACCCAAAAATTCCTACTTAATGAAGGCAACTAGCAGAGCCCACACTGGAAAATAGGAGGGTGAGTGTCTTAATGGGTAGACAGAAGAGGGAAGGGAAAATTGCCCCCACGTGGCTGCCTCCTTTGTGGGGGAGGAGGGTGTGGCAAATGAGTCCCCCTCACCATATGGGAAAGGAATGGAATTACAAGTGTGCTATTATATAGTCCTGCTTTCAGACGTCCCACAGGCATCTGGTTGGCCACCGAGAGAAGAGAATGCAGGTTGAGATGGGCCCATAGCTGTCAACTGTCCCTTATTTGGCGGAAAAGTCCCTTATCCCAGCGCCGTGTCCCGCTGCTGTCCCTTATTGATGATGTCCCTTAAATTTCCCGGTTTTCAAAGGAAACAGCTCCTCTCCCTCCCTCCCTGCCAGCCAGGGAGGAGGGAGGCTCCAACTGTGTTGCTTGGCTGCGTTGCTCACCCAATAAGAAGTCTAAGAATGACTGCGGGGTGGAGCTTGCATGCCTTGTGCCGATCAAATCGGCCACGTTGCCTGGGGACTCCCCTTTGCTCAGCGCTTCCCAGCGGAGAGGTGACGGTGGTTTTCCTTGCTGCATCCCCTTTGCTGGGTTGCTGCGCTATGGGAACCACCGCTTGAGGCTTCGTTTGGCTGCTGGCTGGGCTTTCTGCCTTTGGCTTGGAGGAGCTCAGATGTTGAACATACCAGTGCTTGGGAAATCCCTTATTTTTGAGGCTGCTGGTCCCTTATTTTCAAATCTGTAAGTTGACAGCTATGGATGGGCCACAGGCCTGATCCAGCAGAGTTATCTTTGTTTTCAATGGTGGAGCTCTTGCTTTGCATGCAAACAAAAATGCAGAGCTAGATAGGCCAATAATCTAACTAGATATAATGCTGCTTCCTATGTTAACTCGTTTCTGAATGTTTTACAGTGCAAAGGGCCCTTTTTTCAATGAAAAGGGAAAATAAAATGCCCAGAAAGATTTCAGGCAGAGTTTAATTTCAGCATTTGAACTTCTGCCATATTTGCATTAGGAGAAAACACTTTCTTTTCTAAGAAGGATATGTTTTCTCCACAGTCTCTAAAATTCATTAACAACTAACAGGATTTTGTGCAAAATGAACTAAAAGACCAAGCACATAACATTCTAGCCCCAAAGGAGAATGGCTTAAAAGGCTGAGTGTATGAAAATGGAAGATGTTGATGTAAAGTGCTCTCAAACAACCATTACTAGCACGCTCACTTTCAAATAGAATGAGGTGTGCAAAATATGTTTTATAAGCGGTCATAAAGTCCTAGTTTCAAAAATCTGCTGCCCTCTTCAGATATGTTTGCATACAAGAGAGATTCTCTCCCTCTCCCTCTCCCTCCCTCCCTCCCTCCCTCCCTTCCTCTCCCTCTCTCTTTCTCTCACATTCCCAAGATTTTTTAAGGTCTTGCATTCTTTCCCATATGAAAATAAAAAGTTGTAGAATACTCCATATTTAATTATTAAAATCAGACCAACACAAGAGAGCCCTTTCCGCAATGTTCCAAATATGTTCCGATATTTTCTACACGTTGAAACTGGGGAGGGGGAAGAAACCTTTTGAAAAAATCCACGTAAAGGTTGCAAAATCAAACCTTAGTTTTAATGAGGATTTTATTGGGGTGAGTGAGGATAAATAATGCAGTGGGTTGTAATCAAGACTAAGTTAGCTAAGAACATGAGAACAGAACATGAGAACAACAGACCAAGGGCCCATTCCATCTAGAGTTCTGTTTTCCCAATGGCCAACCAAATGCCTATGAGAAACCCACGAGGAGGACATGAGCACAATAACAACTGAGTCAAATCTAGCCTGCAATGTGGATCTTGAAAAGGACCTGGCCCTCTTGAGCTCAAAAAGGTTCTTCATCTCCCATGTACAGAAAGGAAGGAGCAGGAGGGTCTATTGTTTTCTGAAGAAGCGAGTAACAGATATGGGACCCAAGGGGGCTTACAGATAAAACAGGAACAGCTAAGCTCTCACAGCCATGAATTGTAAACAGAGGTGTTGCGAGGGAGAGGAGCTTGAAGGGAGTGCCTGGAGTGATGTCTCACAGAGTACACAAGACCAAGAGACATGAACGGCAAGGGAGCTGCTGCAGTGACCTACAACATCTGTGCCATTTCTGTCTTCCTGACTGACAACATGCAAAGCTACACCTGCAGCAATTGAAAGCTGGTTGCCTTGCTGGAAGAAAAGGTACAGCAACTTGAGGCTGGCTACCTATACTTTGTGCTATCGTGCAAGTCAGATGAGGAAATTCTAGATCAGAGCAGAGTGTCCTGGAACACAGATGCAGGTGGAGTGCCTCGGAGTGGGGGTGGGGAATCACTGGAGGAATGTGACACAAAAAAAGCAGGACGACCAGGGGACCTGCTTTGCTGGGAACTGAGGGGCGCGGGGAGCCACCAGCTTCCCTTTTTAAAAAGTGGCAAAAAAAAACCCTTTCAACATGGGTTGCCATACGTTCAGGTTTCCCCAGACATTTACCATGGGAATTGAAATTCCCAGCCGCCTTTTCCGCTTGCCCAGGATTTTCCGTACGTATGGCAGTTGGAAGGGACCTGGAGGATCATCTAGTCCAACCCGCTGCAATGCAGGAATATGCAGCTGTCCCTTATGGTGATCGAACACGCAACCTTGACATTATCAGCACCATGCTCTAACCAACTGAGCTATCCAGATAGTTTTAATTTGTATATGCAAACTGGTGGTGCATGTGTGTGTGATGCAGTTCCCTTTTTTCCTGGCATTTCTCTTTTTTTCTGGCCTTATTATTTGTAACACCAAACTATGGTTTAGCATTATATCTAAACCAACCCCTGGTGAGGGAACCACCCAATAACAGAGAAGCACATTTTGGGCATTTAAAAGACTAGCACCTGGGGTTGTATGCAGGGACACTCCCTCCTCCCCCCCCCCCCCCGGCAATGAAAAGGATTTCTCTCTTATAGCAGCTCCTAATCTTTGAATAAACATATCTTCCGATGAAGCGAAATGAGCATGAAATGGATTATGTGCTTACATGGCTCTCTTATATCGCTGGACACTCCAGAGTTTGGGAAAGGACTAAATAAGCAGGGCTGCTTGGCGTAATTAATTATGCCACAAGCCCATGACAAATTCAAAGCAGAAGCAAAAGACCAAAAACGAAAAAGAAAAAAGAAAAAAACGACACATGTCACTCTTAGCAGTACTTAATTCCACAGACCATAGCACAATTATATACTCAGCTGCTCCGATAAGTAGGTGTTAAAAGAAGGAAGAATTACGGTATAACATTCCTCCTAATCATGCCATGCTGGAAATGATGCAAGGAGGGTATAATCACTTTGGCCCAGTGATCTAAGAAAGTGTTGCAACATTTAATTCAGGGATGGTGAACCTCTAGTTCTCCAGATGTAATTTGTTTGTTTGTTTCTACATTTTTATCCCATCTTTCCTCCAAGGGTCTCAAGGTGGAGTACATGCATCTCTCCACTTCCCTGATTTTACCCTCATAATAACCTTGTGTGGTAGGTTAGCTTGAAAGACTGGCACAAGGTCACCCAGTGAGGTCCTAGTCTGACACTCTTAACTCCCATCAGCCCCAAAGAGCATGGTCAATGGCCAGGAACAATGGGAGTTCTAGACAAGCATCTTCTGCAGAGATGCAGGTACCTCATCTCAAATTCAATGTATTGATTGGCTAGATTACTTGAATAATAATAAAAAACTCTTTGGACTCACCAAACAACCAGTGTTAATTATTATAATTTTAATTTAAGTATTTGGGTTGTGTGGTTTTTTTAATAGAAACCGTAGGTGGCAGACATAATCTTAGATGAGATGATTTCCCCTTCTATTTTACCCACCAGAAAATGCCTCTCCAGGATGGTGCCTGTTGCTATGGATCATTTAAAAACAGAAGAAGAAGAAGAAGAAGAAGAAGAAGAAGAAGAAGAAGAAGAAGAAGAAGGTATCTCAGAAGCTCAAATGTTCGCTCTCTTGTAATTGGCAGCCAATGCAGTTCCTCTACAACTGTTGCTGGACTCATCCCATCGGCCCCCAGAGTGGTGGGATCTTTAGTGGGTGGGTGTATTCTGTGCCATGTCATTGACGAATAATAGTTCATTAGTGCTGGATTAATACCAGACCCTCGACACAGCACACAACTTCATTAGTTGTTCTGTGATGCTTCCCTAATATTCTTGCATTATTGCTGTCCAGAGGACACAATTTGCATAACATGAGACATGCAAATCTCTGTAGACACGCAAATCTCATAACGGATACTAGAATTTAAATAGCTTCATCATATAATGCCTCTTGCCACAATGGGGGAAAGTTTGACCAGGTAAACTATATGTCTATCCAGTTTAGCATCAAGGACAAACACTTGATAGGCAACTTCAAGGCCCCTTTTCTCCCTCTTATTCGAGGAGTTTAACTGGCCTTTGAACAGATAACCCTACGAACTTTTGAGGACCCCATAAAAAATAGAGGCTGGAGTAGAAGATTAACTTTGTAATGGTACATCCAGGCAGTGCCGTAGCTACAGGAGGCTAGCTGGGTTTTTTGCCCCGGGTGAAGCCTCCAGAGGGGCGCCACTGATGCTCCCAGCCCGTAGGTGTGTGTGTGTGTGTGTGTGTGTGTGTGTGTGCCAAAATGGGTATTTGACACAGGAGAAATAAAGCCAAGTTTCGCCAGTTCATCAGGTACATGAACTGACCCGGACCCCAAGATCATCATTTGAGACACTTCTTTATGTACTCCCTCCATAAGAGGTCCAGAGGATGACAACATGAGAATGGGCCTTTTCTGTGGTAGCTCCGTGTTTGTGAAATGTTCTCCCCAGGGAGGCTTGGCTGGCACCTTCATTACATATCTTTGGGCACCAGGCAAAAACATTCTTTTTCTCTCAGGCCTTTGAATGATTAAAGAATCTATGGCTTTTTTTGATAGTGTTGTGTATTCTTGTGATTCTCTGATGAAGAGATGATGATGATGATGATGATGATGATGATGATAGCTGGTTCTCTCTAAAGTAAGCCACTCAAACTGCCTGTGACACCTTCAGTCACTGTGATGAAACATGCTTTTTAACCCAGGTGAACAATGGACAAACAAGCATTAAATGGTAGGTAGCATGTTGTAGCACAGACACACAATAGCAGCCACTTATAACAATATTTGCCTGTTCAAGCTTCTGAATTACTCAGCCTCTTTATGTCAAGCTTCAGATCATAGTTAATTGCTTTCTATTGAATTTGGCACTTAGGTAAGTGTCAGAATGTGCTGAATGTTGCTGGTGGGGGCTGGGGAGAGAGAAGGAAATATAGCTATTTTAAATCTTTCAATTCCACCCGCCATGTGTCCCTTGATGGTTCTGAGAATTAAACAAATTAATCACAGGCCGAATAACAACAAAACTAGAAAAAAGAGGAGATTAATCCCTTGCTTAAAGCACATTTTATTCAGCAAAAACTAAACACCCTGTGTTAAAAATCGTCAATGTTCTTCAGCTGGTGTGAGCGGGAGGGAGGAATGATGTTTTAATAGTGCTACATTATCAAGCAGGTTAACATTAATATCCTCAGGTAAGACAATAAATAGGAAGGCCATCTGCATGGGGAGAGAAACCATGCCTTATGTCTGATAGAGGCTAGTGATGAAATTGATAATTATCTGATTCAACTCCACTACAAAGCAAGCTCCATTTTCCCCAATCCAAACTTGGTACCTTGAGGATTGCAATGGCAGGGACCCAAGGAAACGTAATTTCCCCAGGGTTTCCAAGTCCTCAGTTTGTACATCAGGTACCTTGCAAACTAACCACGGCAGGGCTACTTTTACTTGGGATACTACTGACCACGCTGCAATATTAAACACAGTGTTGGACTGAGAAGCCTAGCCCTCTGCTTCGAAGTGAGACTCTCCACATAATGTACAGCTCTTTTCCCCTCACCCACCTCAGAAAAGTGTTTTGTTTTGCAACTATGTTAGTTACAGATATAACTTAGGCTGCCATTTTGGAGAAAATAATAATTTTATAAAACTGTATTTTGATTATTCTGTTTTCTTTTGAGTCTATTGTCTAGCTAAACTAAAGGGGCCCGTACAAGCCTTTTACAGCACAGAACCAGCTGCTTTTAGCTCCTGTACATAGTGAATAAGCACTGAAAAGAATAAACTGTTAGAATCTATGGAGGCCATTGAATGCATGAAAAGAGAATCAGCTAGGCATGGCAACTGCGATTAATCTTGAATTGTTTTGTAGACTGATGGAAGACTTTTAATGAACAGGAAAATTAGTCAAAGTCTTAATAAAGAAAGAAACTGAAAAATGTTTATATGTAATCACGCGGCGGGGTGAGCTCCCGTCGTTCGGTCCCAGCTCCTGCCCACCTAGCAGTTCAAAAGCACTCTTAAGTGCAAGTAGATAAATAGGGACCGCTCTACAGCGGGAAGGTAAACAGTGTTTCCGTGTGCTGCGCTGGTGCTGGCTCGCCAGCTGCAGCTTCATTACGCTGGCCACGTGACCCGGAAGTGTCTTCGGACGGCACCGGCTAATGGCCTCTAGAGCGAAATGAGCACGCAACCCTAGAGTCGGACACGACTGTCCCGTATGGGCAGGGGTACCTTTACCTTTACCTAATCACGCAATATTATGATAAGGGCTGATCTGAAGAGTCAAATGATGTTGATTGGTTCAGGATGATGACATTGAGTTGCAACTACAGTGGTACCTTGGGTTAAGAACTTAATTCGTTCTGGGGGTCCGTTCTTAACCTGAAACTGTTCTTAACTTGAGGTACTACTTTAGCTAATGGGGCGTCCTGCTGCTGCTGGGCCGCCGGCATGCAATTTCTGTTCTCATCCTGAGGTAAGGTTCTTAACCCGAGGTACTATTTCAGGGTTAGCGGAGTCTGTAACCTGAAGCATCTGTAACCCAAGGTACCACTGTACTAAGATTGCTGATATCCTTTGACTGGTGAACTGTCAACATTTGTAATCTGGTCATGTATAAAAACATTGCTTTGGATGTGCTTGCTTGCAGCCTCCTCCTTATTTTTGACGCTGTTCCATGCTCATTTCTATTTCACCGAAGGCCCATCTTTTCACTTGGAGCCTGCATCCTTTTCTTTTGGGTTTCTGTGAGCATAACCTCTAGTCTAGGAACCCCCCCCCCTTTTTTAATTTCCCCAACAGTCACTCAGTTCAATAAAACTTAGTGGATCTATCATCAGAGTTTTAATTAAATCTATATGTTTGCATATGAAGAAAAACAGCTTTTCCTCCTCCTTTTCATTTTAAAGACAATGCTCCCATCTTATGCTAACAGCAAAGCATTCAAATTGGGGCACAACCAAGAGAGGGCACATCTGCTACTGTAAGTGACGCATGTTTAGCTGTAGGCACATGAATGCAGGGAAAGTGGAGCATACCAACCAAGTCAGCATCTGCACCAAACACACTCCGTTTTTTCTTGACTGCCTATTTAAGATGAAACGGTTTTGATGCTCACAAAAAGACTGATCATGAAACTACCCTTACGTACTAAACTCAGCTAACAACAAGAAGACAGAGCCCTACTCGCGATCATTACCCAAACCCTTACAAGCTTATTTTTATTATTATTATTTATGTAAAATGATACACATGTAATCATCTCACATGGACAGAGGATTTTAGAGCCGCTCAAACTGAGAGGAAGATGAGCCCTGACCCCATTTGGAAAAATAGCAGCTGCGGGCCGAGCTTCCTTCTTGATCCTCACTAGAAAGAACTTGGCTCCATTATAGGGATGGCTGAATGTGTCAGCTTTGGTTTCTCTCAGCTGCTCGTTTTCGCCATCTTAAGTTCATGTCCCCAAATTTCCACCTCAGTTTATTAACTGCCTTTTTAAAATATATTCATGAAAATTCATTTGCACTTTGATGCAAATTTCTCCTTATCTATATACTTTGGAAAGTGTTCTGTCGTTTGTCTGCTCAGACCCCTTAGGGACACGTGCTAGAGGTGTGCAAGGTCAGAAATGAATGGGAAAAAATTGCTTTGTACAGTAGGCTATATTCTAGCCACCCCTCCATCCACACAAGCAGGAAGTGTCAATCAGAGATCAAGGACACATTCCAGGCAGGCAATACCACAAAAGTAAGGTGTGACACAAGACCAGCAAGGGGCGTAGCCTGTGGAGAGTCCTGGGGGCCAGGCAAAGAGAAATGGAGGGCCACACTTGGCTGAGGCTCCACATTCCTGGTTTAGATGTTGCATATTTTAAGGGGAAAGAAATGGACAGTTTTGTAAAGATTTCTTTATTGTGCCCACCAGCATTTTGATAGGACAATCAGTAACTGTGGCACTTTTGGGGGGGGGCACACTGAAAGAGGGGTAATGCATGAGGCACAGGACCCTTGGGATGAGATGATACTTTACATGCATGGGAACCGAGTGGTCGCAATATTACATTGGTGGCTAAATTCCTTCTTTACTGTGCTTTGCTTTGTACAAGCTTGTAACTGAAATAACTCTCTGTGGTTACGTTTGTTGTTTATAGTGTTTAATAAAAATAATAAAGAATTCGTTTTTTTTAAAAAAGGAGAAAAAAAATGCCTATTTATACTGTAGTGATGTGCAGTGCAGCAGGGAGTGACACTTATTCGTGATCTTTTCAATACATTCTAATTTACCTTGATCAGAAGCACCTCTCAAGAGCTCTCACTTTCGCAACCTCCTCATCTTTTCTGGCACCTTATAGCAAACATCATGACACCTTTACTACTCTTGGGAAGAAAGAAAAACTGCCTGTGAAAGGACATCTCTCCTCCAAAGATTCTGTCCTTAGCCCACTTGGCTCAAGATGTACAAAAAGGATGCCTTCAGAACAAACAAGCTATCCTAGCACATTAAACACAAAAAGTGTTTTAAAATAATGTCAATAGCACTCAAAACACCAAGTGTAGACATGTTGACCCACATGAAGAAAAACCTAGCACTTAAATGGGTTGTTGTTTTTTTGCAACTCAGGAGGATAAAATCCCACAACCTTTTATTATTAATACTTAATGGAACGTGAAGAATTCAGCTGCATAAAATGTTTTTTTCTTTCTTTGCTCAGTTGTTTGGCATTGAAGACTTCACACAAAGCATATCATTATTAATTTTATCAATATTCCAATGTTGCTCCAAGGAGCTCAAGGATCTTCCCCCTTGTCCCATGGTATCTTCACAATAGCCCTGTTCGGATGTTAGCCCAAGGGGCAGTGAATGGCTCAGGTATATTCAGAAAGCCTAAGGGCTGAGAATGGATTCAAACCCAGGTCACACTGGGCATGATGCTAACGGCACCACCATAAGTGGACTATGAGCATAATATCTAAACCCTAACGATTTCAAAAGAAAAGAAAGGGTGATTAACATGGGAACCTGTCTTAAAGCAATTTAGATTGGTGGTTCCTCTAGCTCAGGGTTTCCCAAACCTGGGTCTCCAGCTGTTTTTGAACTATAGTTCCCATCATCCTTGACCACTGGTCCTGCTAGCTAGGGATGATGGGAACTGTAGTCCAACAACAGGTGGAGACCCAAGTTTGAGAAACCTTGCTCTTGCTTAATACTGTCTACACTGACTGGAAGGAGCTCTCCAGAGTTTCAGACAGGAATATTTCCCAGCTGAACCTGGAGATGCCTGGGATTGAACCCAGTACATTTTGAACAAAGAGCCATGTGCTGCACCACAGAGCTGCACTACTTCCGAGGCATGAAATACTCACAGGTTCCCGTCCCTAGTTGTACTTGAATATTTTGGTCTTTGTATATTACTAGTATTATTGAATGTAGCATTTCAAATGCAGCCCTCCAGGCCTCTCCATCTGGCACTCATTCTGGTCTTCACTTACCTGATAGGGGAAGACAGGTGACCTTCACTGGCCTCTTTTAAAAGATATCCTTTGGTGATAAGTGAGATTACCTTTGTACCTGGTCCAGAAGCTGCAGCTGGTGAAAAATACTGCATCTAGACTGTTGATGGGGACTGACTAACATCACCACATAGCTCTGGTATTTTTAAGCTTGCACTGGCTACTCAAATGAAACTGGGCCAGGTTCAAAGTTCTTATATTAATTTACAAGGCTCTTGGGTCC